CTTGGTGGTTGTTTGTACCAGAATAAATAATAACTAAAACTAGTAGCGTTATATACACAATTCAAGGTCACAGCCTCCATCTCTAGCATAGAAATTGCAGCTTGGTCTTGTGTTACCTTCTGGGACATGCTGGATCCTGAGAGAGACAGAGGCAGACATTAGACGGATTCTCCCTGTGGCATCATCCAGGGGTTCCTGAGGATCTAGGGTAGGAGAGCTCTGATTCCCACGCCCATCACTCTACTCTCCTAACCCCATCAGACAATAGCACCCTGCCTCTGCCCCCACCCTTAGAGCCAGGTCCTGAGTCTGTGGACACCCTCACCATTCTTACCAAGCCACATGGAGGCTATGACTGCCCTCAGCAGACAGGGGACCTGCATGTTGGAAGCTTCCCCTGTGAGTGAGTGTGCTCTGCTCTCCCTCAAATCCAGATCTGAAGGTCTGTCCTGTGCCACAGAAAGCAAGTGCACAATGACTGAGTGGTTAGATGCTTCTGTATCAGAACAGGAAGTGCCACATGGTTTCATTTTCCCTGTGTTCTGCCACGGCTTTTGACATAACCAAAGAATTTAACCTGCCTATTTGGTTTTATTGTAATTGAATGGAAAACAGTTACTTCTGGGCATGTATGAGTCACTTTAAATTGAAGGCCATTGACAATTCAGACATTTGCTACATTCAGCCAATGTACTTAGTGTGGACTCAAAAGTTTTATGAGAAATACATTTTATTTGCGGGTTAAGGTGACTACAGAAATAAAAGATAATTCTCTTTTTATATGCTGTATGATTGTTTGTCTCCAGCAAAAATCTATGATGAAATATGGTCACCAATTTTTCTTCCAGGTGGGAAGACAAAATTATTCACTCTCAGATATCATAACTTTCTTCCTATACTCCAGGTTAAAGGATTCTAGGAAATTTAAAGTGGATGAAGCTACTCGTCTGTTTACTGATATTATAGCAAATTTCCTGGGTGTCAGCTTTAGTCCAGTTGCATGTGCCCAACAGCAATCATTAGTAAGTCTGTGCTAGGAAAAATCTGGCTTTCAGATACAACACACGCTGCAGTCAAAATGAGAACAGCCAAACTCACCAGGCCAGGTGTCATTATTCTCCTGCTTAAAAAAATGGAGCAATTCAAAAACAGCAATGCTTCTGTCAGCCCCTGCTGTGGCAAGTATGGCTCAAAGACATTTTCCCCTAGATGCACTGCGATTGTTTTGTGTTTAAGCAACATGGAATTTAATGACTGATTTGCTTAGCATCAATGTGCTGATTTATGTGTGTGGTTTAGTTGATTACAGCTTTTAATTGCCTATGGATGTAGTCTTCCTTAAATGAATACATGAGTTTAGTGACACTTGAGTTCTTATATTACAAAGAGATAATTTTTTTTAAAGTGAAGGATGATTCAATCAGTGGTACTAGTAGTAGAGAGTGGTTGTCTCCAAGCAAAGGGATCTACTGAAATGAGGAAGGAGGGCAGTGTTGAGGTAAAGTAAATATTCTGTGTATTGCCTGTTATGTGGGTGAATTTGGTTCTTAAAAAACATTAGACTGAACATGTAAGTGAATTTCATGAAAAAAGTATGCCTTATTAAGAAATAAACCTAAATAAAATAAAACATACCCAGAGGAGTATTCCAGCTTTCTCTTAGTTTCAGAAATGTGTTAGTATTTTTCTAATTATTACAGAACACCTGTGGTCTGCCATGATTACAGCCTCCTCTCAGATCCTCTAATGGCTTACAAAGATATAGTATCAAAAAAGAACCAGCAGGAGAGTTGTATGCCTGAAGAGTCTAGATATACACAAATAGATGATTAAAGAAAACAGAGGAACATGCAGCTCTGAGAATAAAGATCTATGGCTACAGATAATAATAAGAATATCATAAAGTTAGATTGTAATAATCCAGATACAAGAGCCCATACTAAAAGACCCCACTTAAAAATGTACCAAAACAATCCATGCATGAATATGTCAGGATGGTGGTAACTGGGGTTGTAGAGAGGAAGCAGGTAAAAGAGATGCCTGGAATGTGGACAGTGTCATCTTCCGTGATAGGGTTGCTGGTTCCCTGGGCTTTTCCAATTTGTAGAAATGTATATCTTTCTATAATTATGCTCATCTCTCTATATAGGTGTTATTTTATTTTGGTCCTTTTTTATTAAATAGAATTCATATAATGCACAGATACTGTATGTTCATTTCAATGAGTTTGAGAATTTTTTACACCTGTGTCACCACCATCTAAAGCAGTATGTAGACTATTCCTATGACCCTATAAATTTTGTGCCCCCTTCTAGCCAAACCATACTTCCCAGAAGAAACAGTATTTTTTACTGCTATCACCATCATTGTTCTATTTTTCCTGTTCTTGAATTTAATATAAGTGAAATCACATAGTATATCGGGGGAACCAATTGGTTTCTACTGTTCAACATGAGGTTTTAAAGACCCATTCATAGTGTTGTGTGTAAGTCAGTTCTTCTTTTTAATTGTAGAGTAAAAGTCCTTTGTATGGACATACCATGATTGTTCACAAATTCTCCTATTCATGGACATTAGAGTTGTTTCTAATTTGTGCTAAGAATGAATAAGGCTGGTACAAGTATTTTTGGATGGGTCATTTGTGGGCCTTTGTTTTTACTTTTCTTTGCTAAATACCTATGTGTGGACCTGCTAAACCAACTGAGGTCCCACAGTGATTGTGATATTTTACACTCCTACTAACACTGCACAAAATATCCAGTTGCTCCAAACCTTTCCCCATATTGGAATTGTTAGACTGTTTGCCTTTGACCTTTCTCTTTGGCATGAAGGAAATCAGAATGTGCATGTAATTTGCATTTCCCTAATGACTAATGATGTTTAGTCTATTTTATGTCCTTGGCTTCATTTGTTGAAGTTGCTATAAAAAATACCATAGACTGGGTGGCTTCTAAATAATTGAAATTTGTTTCTCATAGTAGCTAGGAAGACTAGGATCAAGTCACCAGAAGATCAGGTCTGGTGAGGAACTGATTCCTAGTTCACAGATAGCAGTCTTGTATGCGGTGGAAGGGGCAAGGAAGCTCTCTGAGGTCTCTTTTATGAGGACATTATTCCCATTGCCATCACTTCTCCAGGTCCTAACCTCCAAAAACTATTACAAAGGGAATGGGGTTTTGTCATAAACTTGTTTAATATACTTGCTGCCCTGGCATCTACATTTAGAACTGACATAAGATTTTTGAAGCCCAGTTGTACTCTATCACATTTGTTAACAATTCCCATATTGTTATTCCTCAACTCATTGACCCAAAACCCAGAGTGTGACCATAGAAAACCTAATGGTAAACACCAATATCACATAAAAAAATTCCCCTCTTTATGTATATTTTCTTTTATCTAGTCAATTTTCAACCCCTGTGGGAAAGCTTAATAAAGAGGTTTCACTTCCCACCACACCTCCTCCTGCAGCTCCTCTTTGTCCTGTAGTGTGATGGCAAATGAACTGCTTCACCTAAAAGTCATAGACCAAAGAAGACTGAAGGAGATATGGGACAGGTAAGTTTTAGATTGTTCTTGTGCCTTCCTATTGCCCTCATGGGTTCCACTATATCCTTACAAGTCACAATTCATCCAATTTCATGTCCATTTCCATTTTTCATGCCTAAATCTAGTCTAGCAGACCTTTGGTAAACCAGGCTCAATAAGATTTGCAAATACAATAGCTTGGCAGAGACTCTATCACCAGCTCCAGATATTGACTGAAATCTAATCCTTAATAAGTAATCTCTTTTTCTCTATCACCTATGGTGGTTATTCTCTGATTGTACGGAACTAACACAAAGTCTTCGGGGAAAGAGCTAAGAAAACAATTTTCATTTATATTCCAAATAACTAGATTAAGATTTGTGCTGTGAACATCTTTAAGGGAAACTACCACTTTGAATTATGATAGGGCAAGTTATTTCAACTTTAGATAACTTTAAACATGTTCTGTATGATCTATTTTAAGTCAAACATTGAAGACTGAGAATGTATTAGAAGAAAGTTGCTGCAGAGACCTCTTTCCAAATAGGATAGAAACAGTTTTTACTTTGAATTGAATCTTCTGATCTAAACCACAGAGTAGGCAGCCACAGTCACTACCGTCTTGTCTGGACTCTGCAGGTGCATCTCAGCTGACTTCTGCAGCAGGGGTCCATCTCCTTATGCAGCTCCTGAGTTTTTGTTCAGCTTTTACTATTAATTTAAACACTGTGAGTTCCCTCAGAGCACAGAAATACTTTGCTGAGTCTTCCCGCTGGAAGGGTGAAATGATAAGGCTGATGGATTTAGCTGTTTTCCTGAACCAAACAGAATAGTGACCTCTTATTTCACTGAAACCAGAAGAGCTCTGACGAATAAGGAAAATGATCTCTCCACTGGGAAGTTGTTTGTACCAAAATATGTCGTATGCACTCCAACTCGTTTCATAAGAACAGTCCAGCGTGACTGTTTCTCCCTCCTGACCAGATGTCACTGGCTGGACTTGAGTCACTTTCTGAGCCACAATGAATCCTGTGGGAACAATCAGAAAACAGAAATCCTCTGATGTAGTGATTAAAACATTATAAACATTAGACTAATTTAGGACACAAAACCAAAACAAACTGGAGCCATAGATTGCTTTCCTCCACTCCCCCTTTCCTCCAACATGGAGCACCATATGCCTGTGTGCAGTCCTTTCCTCCTTAACATCCTTAGCCATGTTTGAACCCAACCTACCAGAGTAGGAGTAGATAAAGGCCATGGACACCCACAGAAGGTGGGCGAGTAGCATGTGGCTCATATCCCTGTGCACAGAAGTGTTATTTCTGCCTCAGACCCAGAGTTCAGTGTCTGAGAGCCTGGCAGTGTACATATGTACTTCCTGGGTTCCCATGCCACACCCCCAATAGGAAACGGGGGTTCTTACGTTTATAGACCACAAGGTCCATGCATAGTTGAGAGAAAAAGTGTGATACACCCCAAACTGTTACTTTGCCTACTTCTCTTTCCCTGGTAACTTAGACAGAAGCTACACAGGGAGCATGAGAAAAGTCATTAGTGTTGAGGGTTAGAGCTGAGGGAGCTGCAGAAGGAACTGGTTTACACACACTGATGTTATTCAGTGGAATAATTTGGAGCATCCACTGAAAGTAGAATTTATTATGAGTCTATTCATGGGTCACTAATTTAACACATATTTACTTTTCTCTGTTCAGAACCTATGAAATTTAAAAGAAGAAAATCTTCTTGGGCCTTTGTCTTCCTCCATGAAAGGCAATATTCATCAAAATAATTATAGAATCACTTCTTCTTTACTGAGTTCTGGAGACTATTTAAATTCTACAATTAATAAAGGTACAGCTAAGTCAATGATAAAGGTCAGTCCTTCTGAGTTCAGCAGCTATTCAGTTGATTATGTTTTGTAAACGTATAACGGCATGAATTATTATTTTTTCAAAATGTGATGTTGCATTTTATTTGCTATGTCTAAAAGAGGATGTTTAATCCTGCTTATTTCCACAAAAGCCATCGTACTTATTAGATATTTATATCACATTTTCTATCCCATTGATCTGAATTATTCACCCTCACTTGTTAAATTTTGTATATTTTTCTCTCTCTTTTTATTTGTAAAATAGTGTCCTCATTAGCATGCCAGGTCATTCTGTGACACAAGGCTATAATCTACTCCTGCAGAATGTGCTGATTGACTGCAATGACTTAGGGGCCTGTCAACACCACAGAACTTGGTGACTGAATTTCTGCATGCTGCTGTATGATGGTGTGGAACATAGCTGTGATCTTCCTTTTGGTCCCATTGCTTTGCTGGGTGAATGAATATAAAGAGACCAACAGGCCAATACAGAAGAAAGTTACAGACATGTTCTCTAAAAAAGCTCCAGTTCCTTGATACTGGTTTAAATATCAGAACAGTTCGTGGTGCAGGGAAGCATTTATAATAAATTGAGCTCTACTCCTCTGTCCCATTTCTCTCTAGGTGCTGATAGGCAGCTGATTTGCAATTTTATAGCATTTGTCCTGAAGCAAGTGGACACCTGGATGCCCACCAAAGCCAGGAGAGCAGCATGACTGCAGAATTACCCTCTGTTGATCTGTTCCTGCTCTGTGCTGCTGGCAGTTGCAGGCGCAGGGTCTCAGAAGCAAGTGGCAACTGCCTCTGAAATGTGGTTTCCAGGAGGGTCTTGTTTGGATTTGTTCTGATTAGCATTCCAGGTCTTTCTGTGACACAACTGTGACTCAGTTGCAAAGTTTGTCCCATTCTTGACACTGTTTTGCCCTTTGTTGTGATGTAATTGGTAGATAACATTTGGTAAAGGATTAAGCTTAAGGTTTAAGGAAGTATTTGAAGAAGAGTGATCATTTAAAAATCTCCAACTTTAGTTAATTAACCTGAGATCTAAGGGGCTTGTCTGAAACAAAATATAAATTCTAACTGTGACTGCAAGTATTCTCTCAGGTTTTGATTGATCCCTTGCCTCCCGTCAGACCCTGCAGTGAAACATGCTCACCACTTCTTGGTTTCCTTACAAAATCCTTCACTGCCTGCCCTTCCCACTCACCCAAACCATGGGACTGAAACCTTCACAGAGGCACAGCATCTGCTCAGACAAAGGAGATCCAAACAGGTTCCTGAGTTCTGAAATCTCTCCAGTGACAGAAGTGACAATGGCAGCAGAAGTACCATCATATTATTTATAATGTAACTCTGTGCTTAGTTTAATTAGAAGTCCTGGAAGGAAGAGGGAAGGGAGAGTGGTGGACCCTTGAGTCCCAACATGCAGCCATGTTATTTCCAAGTGCATGTCTGTCTGTGGTCTGCAACAATCCTGTACTCTTGTTAGAGTTTTCAGGACTACAAAATCTCTCCCCAAATGCCATTTCTTCTGTGAAACATTCAAAACTGATAATTGTATAAATGTAACAAAAATATTTCCTTCTTTTGACATTAAATTGAATTAAGATTCTCCTCCACTTTATGCTGAAAATTTATCTGGAGAAGAAGTTTCTATTAACTCCTAAATTCCAAAAACATACTTTTGTTTGTCTGCCCCGTAAAGAAACCCAAATGAAAACACTTGAGTTATTCTATGGAAATATGTCCTCAGCCTCTCCCTGGTACCTTTACAAAATTTCCAAACCCACATACCACTTGAAGGTACAGAATCAGGTTCTGAGATCTTCTCAAATCTCCCCACCTTTTACATTGATGATGTCTCAGCTCTAATGCTGACCACAAATTTCAACCTAAGCATTGCATGCTATTTTATTCTTATATATTTCAAACCAATGAAAGCTACTCCAATCATATGTAAAAATTATTCCAAATTCATTATCCAACTTTTAAAATTCCTACTAAAGACGGTAAAACAAACTGTGAGTAAAGGAAGTTCACATACAATGTCTATGGCACATCTCCTATTGGTAAGAACCAGTTGATTTGGTTTTTCTTTTTTATTTTCTCTTTCTGTGTATTGAAAAACTGTGCACTGTGGACTGGGCAGGGAGCTTCTGGCTTGTGTATTTCAGGTGAGCCAGTCTTCACATTTTGTTTTGTTTTATTTTAAGACAGGCTTTCACTTTGTTGATCTGGCTGGCCTTGGAGCCCTGGACCTGAGATCTTCCTGGCTCGGCCCCCAGAGTGGCTGGAACTACAGGGGCACTCCACCCCACCAGCTGGGTATCTTTTAATTCATAAACTCATTAAAATTTTTTATCAAAGGAAAATTGTTGATATGTATGTAGCCTAAGGAGAATATATCTTGCAAAAAGATATTAATAAGGATTCCAGTCTGCATTTGGTGGGCAGATGGAGACCATAGAAATTTTAGCTGTTGTAATTTTTTTAAAAAAAATTTTATTACATAAGTCCCACAAGCAAAAGTATAGAAAATTATGTAATGAACTCCTTTTATCCAGGAATATGAGTAAACACGTAGTAAATTTTGTTATGTTTTGTTTTTCTTAATTTTTCTCAAGCATTACAGACAGAGCTAAAGGAGTGTCGTCTGCTTTTCCTTCTTCTCTTTCAAAGAAGTAGTCACAACTGGGAAGGTTCCCTACAGGTCCTTTTACATTTTACCCTTACAGCTATTTATCATTAAACAATACCTCGTGTTGTGTTTGCATTTTGAGGTTTCTCCTAAATAGTTCTATGCACTATATAGCATTCTGACATTTGCTTTTTATATTCAACACCATGTTTTTAAGATTCATCTTATGAAAATATGTATGAGACCACTTATTTGCTTGAAATAGCTGTGTATTTGCATTGTTTGAGTAAACTACCCTTGTCCATCCATTATTGATGGATTTTTACTGTTATTTTTAAATACTGCTACATCCTTGTAAATGTCTCCTGTTCACATACATGAATTTCTTTAATTTAGATATCAGGAATTGAAATGGATGGATTTTTAGATTTATATCTTTTAACTATTTAGGCTAATTGTTTTCCTAAGTGGCTGCATAAACTGTTCTCCATGTGGTTGTTTTTCTCCTCTGGAAAAGTAAAACGGCCCCATCTTCCCATATGCTTGACAACTTGATTAGACTTTGATTTTGTTTATCTGATACAAATAACATAGTAATTACTTTTCTTTCACCTTAATTTTCTGTAATAACGGTGTAAGTGAATGTTTTATATGTCACAATCCCATTTCTCTTTACATTTTCTTTGAACTGCCTTTTATAATCTTGTTTATTTATTTTCTATTTTGGGTATTTTTCTTATTTATTTATAACAGTTCCTTATCTAAGATTAACTCCTGCTATTTTCTTGATTATGTAGTTGGCAAATATATAAAAAAATTGTCTTATTTTCAATTTTGGTAAGAAATTAGATTTTCCTTATAAATTCTCTGGGTTGTCTCTAATTATCAAATAATTTTGATAAATATAAATCAATTTAATTTTATAAACTACTTCTCCTGTTCCATTTGGTAGTATATGTATTTCAACAAAGTTGTTTCTTTTCCTAAGAGTTTTGAATTTTATTGGTTCAAATTGCTTGTAAATGTCTCTTAAAAATTTTAACTTCCACTACAGATAGATTTGCTTTTCAATATTTCATATCACTGTTTTTATTAGTTTTCCAGTTTTCCAATGAGGCTATGCCATCAACTTGGTGGCAAAAGACAACACAAATTTATTCTCTTAGCGTTCTAAAGGGTACAAATCCTAAGTCAGTCTCTTTAAGCTAAAATCAAGGAATAATCCAACATTTGAATTCCAATTTTAGAGGCTGTCTTCATTTCCACATTCATTGCAGGGCTTTTGTTGTTGCTGTTCTGACTCTACTATCTGTCTCTCTCTTATAAGGCTCCTTGTGATTAGTCTGGGTCCACTTGGTGATTCAGGATAATTTCTCTATCTCAAGATCTTTGAATTAATCGCTCCTGAAAATTCCCTTTTGCCATATGATATTCTGTTGAATTGTGTCCCTCCAAATCTGTATGTTGAAGTCCTAATTTTGATTACTATTGACTGTCATCTAATTTGAAAATAAGATTTTTGCAGATATAATTAGTTTCAATGAGGTCATACTGGGGTAAACTGGATCCTCAGTCTAATATGACTAGTGCCTTTATAAAAAATGTAATATCATGTGAAGAGACAGGGACACGCACACAAGAGGAATGATGGGAAAATACCCAGGAAGAATATGAGCATCTACAAGCCTGAGACTACCAAAGCTAGCAGAGATGTTGGGACAGACCTTCAAGGGGCATAGACTTTATTTCACATGTCTTGCCTCCAGCATTGTAAGACAAT